TTTTTAAGTCATTTGACAACATTCCAGAAATTTCAATCACTGTGACGTCTAACTGAAGATGATTACTGATGTATGATATTGTTGGTTGTAAAGGATACTTTGAAAAAATTTATTTTAAATAAAATAAATTTTTTCAAAGTCTTTTTTATTTTATATTTTTACTTCAAAATGACTTATGGGCTTATTGGTTGCATTGTTATGTTATAATATATAATATAATATACAATATAACATAACAATTGATCATTCTAATTATTTTAAAAGCCATTTCCAAATTAACATTCAGACATTAAAAATAATCTGTTATTATTACTTCTTATTAAGTTGAAAAAGTGACTAGCAATTATTATTAATTATCAATTCTAGAAGTGAATCATTAGAAAACGACTCGTTATTTTTTAATATCAAAACAATGCCAATAATATTGAATAAAATCAAAATTGAGATATTTGTGAATATCATTGAAATTTGACAGGTGAATGCTTGCGACACAATTTTATCCAATTGGCGCTCGACAAGTATTTCCATGTTTCGATGACCCAATATTGAAGGCAACTTTTAACATTTCTATAAAGCATTTTAGTTATTATATGGCACTGTCGAATATGCCAGCGCGAAATATAATTAGAGTTAGTCAAACCATGACATGGACATACTTTCGTGAAACTCCTATAATGTCCACTTATCTTGTGGCGATTATGCTGACCGAATTTCCTAACACTTCTGTCAAAGAAATAAACTTTAGATATCATACATTACAATCGAAACTCAATACAGAATTCGCACAAAGTGTTATTGAGAATATAACTTCATATTTCGAATCTGAATGGCTGTGTTTCCAAAAATTTCCGAAAGTGGACCATGTTGCAATACCAAATTTTCTACGCGATGAAGTGGCGTATTGGGGACTTATTTTTTATAGGTAATTAATATAATTAAAAAGAAAAATATTAAACATTAAGATATTGCATCCAAAATTATTAACATTATTAATATTAATGCCATTCATTATTTGATTAATTATAGAACGCAAAAGTACATAATGTATACTTTTGTATATTTATTAACTTTATTTATTAACTTCAGCAGACTATAATACCTAATGTAAAGTAGGATTGAGAAAGTTACTTTACTTTAAAGTTATAAGTTAGTCTTTAAGTTACCTTATATGTGTTTGTTATAGAAATTAAGAACAATAGTAATACAAAAGTGGAGCAAATAATAAAAAATATGATATAAAAAAATATTCGAACTGATTTTACTAAATTTCTATAATAAAAAGTAATTTATAAGTAACTTTTTCAACCCTGTGTAATATATTATAATCTTATAATGACTTTTTGACAGAGAATATATATAACATATTCATGTATATTCTATGTTGAGAAAAAAAATATGTTCATACATATTTTATTATATTTATAAAATATTTTATTAATCCTTCATGTTTTACATTGAAAATATCTCTTATTAATAGAAAAACAAATATTTTATATTGTATATTTTATATTTAATGCATCAATTATAAAATAATAATAAAAGATGTTACCAATATAAAGCATAAAAAAGATCGATAAAATATTTTATAAATACAACAAAATATGTATGAGTATGTTTTCTCTTTCAACGTAGAAAAAAACTACATAGTTGAAACACAAACTAATTTATTAAAAATATTAACTTTTAGAATATTTTAATTTAATACGTTTTATACGTAAAAGAGTTAGAAGACTATTTAAAGAAGATACGTGCTTTTGTTTTAAAAGATAAGATAGAATATGCGTGAAAATACGTAATTTTATTTTTAATATAATTAAAGTGCAGATTAAAAGGAATTGCAATTTATATCATTTAAATAATTAACTTACATTCTCTTGCATTAAAATTTTTTTATTTACATAAAAATTCTTAATTTATATTAAAAATACAAGTTGTTTGTTTAAATAGTTTGGTCTTTGTATTGTAAAATAATTGTTATGTTAGAAAGATAATCTGTTTCAATTATGGAGTAAATAGTATTATTATAATAAAATTTAAAAAATGTATTATATTTATGAATGTGGTTTTTAGGGAAGCAGCTATTACCTATAATAAAAAATTAGAGTCTGTTGGACGTAAAGTAGATGTGGCGCGTTTAATAGCACAAAAAATAGCATATCAATGGTATAGTAATCTTATTAGCCCTACTTGGTGGCTTCACGCATGGCTGTTTGAAGGTCTCACTACATTACTCGCAACAGATGCTATTAATGAGGTTGGTTTTCTTAAAATATTTTTAGCGCTATATATTGCTTATAACCCAATGAGAAATGACAATGAAATCAATTCGATGTCAATTCCATTACATTTCTCATTGGAATGTGCAGAATGACTAAAAGAAAATGCATTTTATGAAACTTACTTCTAATATCATAGGTAACAAAAATTGATACGTATAATTAATATTAATTTGTATGTATAATTAACAATGTGCATATAAAAACTTTTTAAAATTGTTTTTATCCATCAAAAGTACTGATTGTTATTCTTTCTCAAATGTATAAGTTTAGCGAAACGTAGCAATTATAGCTATTAATAGCAATAAGATGCTAATACATATTAATAATATTAATAGTATTAGTAATACAAATATCATTTATTATTGTATATTCATTAATGAATTAATCATACAAAAATTTCATTTTTAGATATATCCAGAGTTCCGTATATGGGATTTATTTGTAGTTCAAATTCATCAAGAATCTCTTCGTTTAGATTCCATTATAAAACCTCTTACATCAAAAATCAAAAGTCCTTCTGAGATCAATTCGCTTTTCTCTTTTGCATATTATATAAAAGGTAGGACTTTAAAAATTTAATTTAATATTTTTGTCCATAAATCGCAAAATGTATAAATAACAAGAGCAGCTTTAAAAAATTAAATACTTGTTATTTAGATCTTGATTTAGTTATATTGTATATGAAAACAAAAAGAAATGATTACAGAGAATCAAAAATTTACTTCTTTACTTAAATTTACTTAAAATTAATGACAATTTAGTATAAGAAAAAAAATCAGCTCCACGGTGACTTTGGTCTTGACACATGTTAATCATGAGCTTCGAATGATCTTCAGAAGGTTTTAGCCGTTATTTGTAAAAAAATTATTAACAAAAAAGGAATTTGAAAAGTTTCTGAAATATATTATGTAGAACAGTATATGCGTAGACACAGTGAGTTCTATCCTCCCCCCCCCCTCCCACTCTACGAACTATCCCATTACTAAAAATTAGACAAATAGATTTAAGTTGAATCTCACTTCGCATGAAAAGTTATAGTAGTGCTGAGCATAGTCAATTTTTTTTTTAATCAATTATATTAAAGATGTGACTGTAAATTGATTGTGCTTTTCAACCATAGTGAAATCAAGATATAGATAATTTTGTTCGTCACTCCTGTTAACCCTCAAGACAAAAAAATAACAGATTAATGTATGAATAATCAATTATTAATCTATTATGTCCATCCCTAGTTGTAAAGTCTTATGTGGAACTTCACTTATCAACTACAATAAAAAATTGTCAGACTCAAAATTTGGTATATCGAATTTTGTAATTTTGATCATTTTTATTGTATTTTTATTGTATTTATCACGATTAAACTGACCGGTATTTACCATTAAATTGTTGCTTTGTGAATTTTTATCATTTATATCGTGTGCATATATATCCTCTACTTCATATTTACAATTAGTGATATGTATATATAT